AGAATAAAGCGTTGGAGAAGGAAAGATAAATATAGACTGTAGAACACTAACCCCGAAGTAAAATAATAATAATAATAATAATAATAATAATAATAATAATAATAAACAAAAGAAAATAAGATAATAAAGGTAAAATAGTAGTAATAATGTTGATTACATATACAATGTAATAATTAAAAAGGCAAAATCAAGTGAGGAAAAAAATAGCTTCTTGAGTAAACGTTGCAAATAATGGAAAAAATAAAAAACAAAAATTTTTAAATTTTAAAAAGTTTAAATAAAATTTGCAGTAATGAAGGTCATTCGCTTCCTCTATTGTTCTGTTTGGCATGCCTGTTTCCCAGTCCGGGCAGTATTGCAGTTCCTTGCATTTCACTGCTCCTCAGTGTTGTAATCTGGTCCTGATTTTTAAGCAGATCTTGCTTTGATTTTATTACTCTAGGATCAATTTGTGATTTAGCCTCGGGGTGGCAGTGTTTCTAGGTTGACTTCCAGGGCTCTAAAGCCTCTCTAGCTTTTTTTTCCTCCCTCTCTGCGGCACTGATCTATTGGGGGCGGGGCAGTCCGAGCCAACTGTACTCTCCTGTACTTCTCAGATATCCCTCTGAGTCAGATCCAAACGTGTTGCTCTTTAGATATCTCCCCTATTAGGAGCCCTGTTTACATTCACGGGTGACACCCGCCCAACAGCCAGGGGCTTCTATTTGTAATCACCGCCCCTGTTCTCCAGTTTCCACCCGCCCTGCACCCGTGGGCTTTTGTCTTCACTGCGAGCACTCAACCACCCTCTCCCCATGAAATCTGACCTTTTCGCCATGCGGTGGGGCGCTCCTTTGAGTCTGAGTGTTCACACCGTCTGGGATCAGAGTTCTGGGGCTCACAGCTGCTTGGTGGTCGCTGCGGCTGTGGATATTCAGGCCTCTGACACGATCCAATCTTCCTCTCAAGATGGCGAGATTTTCCTGTCCAAGCCCACAGGTAGCTCTGGGAAGGGACCCAGCCCCACCATGGATGCTTCCCTGTCAGGAGCACCCTGATCAGTGGTCCCCTAGTTTCTCCTGGTGTTCGCCTGTCTCTTGGCTTGCTAATAAACATTCTCAGCATGACCCTCAGCTGCTCTCTCTTTCTGCTTTGGGACAAGGCTCAGAATCCACCTACCTATTCTTCCGCCATTTTGTCTCCCTCTCTTTTGCTTTTAACATGATACAACAAGCCATAGTAAGGGAAGATTTGGTACCAGGGTGTCAATGTTCTGTTGGAGCAGAGACACTTCTTTAATCACAGAGACACAATCATGATATTCCCCCCATGGGCTAAGAATTATACAGTGAGTCACATGCTATTCAACTGATGGAGGAACAATAGGAGAAGGAGGGTGTGATGATTCACAATGAACCGGCTAATTCAGTTGTTGGCAAACTCATTAGTCAGCGGAGCCAAATATCAACAGTACAATGATTGAAATTTCTTTTGAGAGCCCAATTGTTTAAACTTAAACTTCTTCTAACGCCACTTCTTCAAAATAGACTCACCCAGGCATGGTATTTTGTGGAAGAGCCACACTCAAGGGGCCAAAGAACCACATGTGGCTCATGAGCTGCAGTTTGCCAACCACGGGGCTAGTAGAAAATGCTGAAGGTTTCTGTTAGCACCATGTATGGCAACATACAATTTAAAGTATTAATATGGGTTTTGAGGATGTGTTGACTAATTGAACTGAGGACCATCATTTGCTGAGGCAAGAAGGCGAAGCCTCAATGACTGGGTGTTACAGTGCAGCCTTCAGCACGCAGTTTTTGGTAGATGTCAAGTTAATCCACCTTGAGCATGACCCAGAATGGTCATATTTGTACAAAAAGGCAGATTCATGCGTCAGCCAATTTGGATCAGTGGATAGAGCATTGGCCTGTATACTGAAGGGTCCCAGGAACTATTCTGGTCAAGGGCTCATGCCTGGGTTGTGGGTACTATCCCCAGTAAGAGATATGCAGGAGGCAGCCAATCAATGATTCTCTCTCATCATTGATGTTTCTATCTCTCTCTCCCTCTCCCTTTCTCTCTGAAATCAATTTATATATATCCTATCCAATAAAAGAATAATATGCAAATTAACATCACTCTGCTATACCCAAAAGCCATGCCCACCAGCCAATCAGGAGCAAGTATGCAAATTAATCCCAACCAAGATGGCTGCAGCCAAAAAGAAAGTAGGAGGCTTGGGTTTCCCTGGCAATGGAGGAAGCCAAGCTTTTCGCACACCCTGGCTGGCCCAGGCCTCCACTCAAGGCTACAAAGTTTCAATGAGAGAAGATAAATAAATTCCAAAAAAATGGCTGCCTCCATGGAGCTGGAGAGAGCAGGAGGTTTGGGTTGCCCCGAGTAATAGAGAAAGTCAAGCTCCTGCAACCCTGGCCTGCTTTGGCCTTTGATACAACATTTCAATTATAGAAGATAAATAAATCCCAACAAAAATGGTTATGGCCAAGGAGCAAGCAGGAGGCTTGGCTCTGCTCAAGGCTACAAAGTTTCAATTATAGAAGATAAATAAATCCCAGATACCAGGGCCTCCACTTGGGTTGCTGAGGGGTGTGGCTGGCCTGCAAACCACCACAGGCCCCTCGCCCAGGCTGCCCCACACCCCAAGGGAACTCCACCCTGATAGAGGACATCCTTCAGGGCAAACCAGCTGGCCCCCACCCATGCACCAGGCCTCTATACTATCTAATACAAGAGTAATATGCAAATTGACCATCACTCCAACACACAAGATGTCTGCCCCAATGTGGTCAAAGATGGCTGCCCACATGTGGACACAAGATGGCCACCAAAAGATGGCCAGCAGAGGAGGACAGTTGGGAAAAACCAGGCCTGCAGAGGAGGGCAGTTGGGGAAACCAGGCCTGTAGGGGAGGGGCAGTTGGAGGGGAACAAGTCCTGCAAGAGAGGGAAGTTGGGGGTGACCAGGCCTGCAGGAAAGGGCAGTTGAGGGGGGAAGAGGACCCAGACCTGCAGGGAAAGGCAGTTAGAGATGACCAGGTCAGCAGAGGAGGGAAGTGGGAGTGACTGGAGGAGTGTGAATCCCTAAAAATACCACTTCCTTTCGCTGTGCCTCTTCCGCCTCCATGTGTCGCTCATATATATATATTTATATATACTAGAGGCCTGGTGCATGAATTTGTGCATGGGTGCGGTCCAGCCAGCCTGGTCAGTGGGAGGGGACATGGGCAGTTGGCTGGCCTGCCTGCTGGTTGAACTCCTGGTGAGGGGACAATTTTCATATTAGCCTTTTATTAATATGATATACACTGAGTGGCCAGATTATTATGCATTCAGAGATCATAATAACCTGGCCACTCAGTATACACAATGTAGGCATCCTTGTGTACCCATCTGCTAATCTGGTCATGTCTCAGGACAGTGGTACTGTCTGTGTGGAAGCAGAGCTCACCTCCCCAACCCATAGATGTGTTGCAGAAACTAAGAAAGTAGTCTTCTTATAGTGATTTGCAAATATCAGCTGCAAGATGGTGTAGGATTGTTTAAGATTTTTGCTGCTTCAAGTTTTCTATTAAATAAAATTGACTTTTCCTCAATCCTTTTAAAATTTACTGTGTAGCCACAAATTGGTCCTTCATTATCTTCTTTCACCATCTGCTGTGATCAATCTTTTTTTTTTTTTTTAAATCAATCTTTATTGTTCATATTATTACAAAGGTTCCTCATTTCTTCCCCCCTCCACCAGGTTCCCACCCCACCCTCCGTCCCCCCCCCCATCCCCCATTGTCCTCATCCATAGGTGCAGTTTATGTTCAGTCTCTTCTTCCCTCAATTTCCCCAATAGTAAATCCCTTTTCAGATAGTAAATCAGTTACTTAGCATTTTCTCATATCAATAATACCTCCACATGCCCAATGATACACTTCACACAAAAGACATTTCCCACTAGGTCAACCAGCCTCATCCAGGCCCCACCCAAGGCACTCACAGATCAACACCCCAGTCCTAAACTAACTCAACACATCCAGATCTAAGCCTTCATCACTTGATTCAGCAGACCCTCAAGTTCCCACGAAAGTTTCCAGCCATGTCTGAGAAGCAGCCGTGGGGCAGGGGCAGGCAAGGAGCGAGCTGTTCTGGGCCTGGCTGCTCAGGGCCTGGCCTCTGTTGCTCTGGTTCATTCCACAACCAGCTGCTCCGGGTCTGGTCACTGCCGCTCCCGACCTAGTTGCTCTGGACTTGGCTGCTGCTGCTCCGGGCCTGGCCGCTCCCAGCCTGGCAGCCGCTGCTCCGGGCCTGGCTGCACCCGACCCGCCTGCTCCCCCGGGCCTGGCCGCTCCCAGCCTGGCAGCCGCTGCTCCGGGCCTGGCCGCACCCAACCCGCCTGCTCCCCCGGGCCTGGCCGCTCCCAGCCTGGCAGCCGCTGCTCCGGGCCTGGCTGCACCAGCCCCGCCTGCTCCCCCGGGCCTGGCCGCTCCCAGCCTGGCAGCCGCTGCTCCGGGCCTGGCCACACCAGCCCCGCCTGCTCCCCCGGGCCTGGCCGCTCCCAGCCTGGCAGCCGCTGCTCCGGGCCTGGCCGCACCCGACCCGCCTGCTCCCCCGGGCCTGGCCGCTCCCAGCCTGGCAGCCGCTGCTCCGGGCCTGGCCGCACTCGACCCGCCTGCTCCCCCGGGCCTGGCCGCTCCCAGCCTGGCAGCCGCTGCTCCGGGCTGTGATCAATCTTTTTAAAAGAATGTGTTCTGTTTGGATTTTGTGTTTTGAACTTGTTACAAGTTAATGTGCTTGTTTCCCCGTTAGACACCTGACGTTGCAGGCTGGTGGGCCTTTGGCTCTGTAACCTGGGGGTGGTGGTAGGTCCAATAACGCCCATATAAACAGTGCGTGGGCTGTAATCCACCTAAATCCAGGCAATTGCCCCTGGAGGTTTAGAGGGACAGGAACTTGCTGCCCCTTCATGAAGCTTCTGCTTACCTTTTCCAGAGGGTCCCTGCCCAGGAGCCCCGGATGCTGTTCACCGCCCGCCCCAGCACCATCACCTTCCAGGCCGAAAGGGACCCGTGGAGGGAGCAGAAGGAGCAGAGAGCCGCCTTGATGGCGGGCATTCTCATCGGGGTGTACCTGATCTGCTGGACCCCTTTCTTCATCGCGGGGCTCAGCCCCCTCTGCTCCTGCGACCTCCCTGCCCTCTGGAAGAGCGTCTTCCTTTGGCTCGGCTACTCCAACTCCTTCCTCAACCCCCTGATCTATGCGGCTTTCAACAAGAGCTACAGCAACACCGTCCAGGGCTTCTTCTGTCGGCATCACTGAGTCCCGGACCCGGGACCACAAAAGGGCTGATTCCATAACTCAGTGACATGTCCCATGTTGCTGCACCCCCTCCCCAGCCGGCAGCACAGAGCCAGGACCAGTCCTCCTGTTCTCAGGGGCCCGTTAGAGCCCCTTCTCCATCCCAGCCAGGAAGCGGCCTCCAGGGCTGGCCGTGGTGGTGACCTTCTTTATCTTATTGACCTGCTCTTTCTCATTCTGCACCCAATAGCTACTGCCTTTGCCCACCAAGTGGCTGTTCCTCTCCCAACCCATAATGGCCACCATCCTTGTGCTGAGAAGTCAGACATGGCACCTGCAAGGAGGAAATAAAGTAGCCTGGCAGGTTGTAATGGGGATGGGTGTGTGTGTGTGTGTGTGTGTGTGTGTGTGTGAAATAATCCCTATTTCAATGTTTCTTTCCATGGTCCTGAAGGTACACCCTAATATTTATTGTGTGTGTCACAATATTTGACTGCCAAATATTACCTCTAAACATAATAAAGCCATAGTTGTGTCTGTAAGACCAGTGAGTATTGACTCCATGGTTTCATTTTTCTTAATCACCTGAGGATATGTTTTCGTTGATTTTAGAGAGAGAAAGAAAAAGGCTAGAGAGAGAGGAGAGATGTAGAGAGCGCCTGGGAAGGCACATGGGCATATCTTTAATTATTGTCAGCTGAATCCAGTGGCGCTGACAGAGCCATGTCCTGGAAACAGGCCTAACCAGAGGCAGGAGTGTTGTCAGCTTGACCTCCAGTCCAGGTGCCAGAGGGTGGATTTCATTATCTAAATCCAGCCAAGCACCAGGAATGAATATGACTGTGCCCACCCAAGAATGCACATAATCTCCTTTGTCTAGACTTTTAGTAAGACTTCCTGGTATTTTTTTTTTTTCTGTATAAAATAAGCACGCTGTATTGGCTCAGGGTCACTGTCCCTGTCCCTGTCTCTCCATCAGAGGACAGGGGTCCCACCCGGACCCAGCTTTTTCCTTCCATCTCTGTGTCTGTCTCTTTCTTTCATTTTCTCAATGCCCAGCAGCCCCTACTCAGGAACCGCCCCGCTTTCTAGCCGAGCTGGATGTGGAAAAGAGAGAAATACGTATAGAGAGAGAAACATTGATGTGAGAATCATTAATCAGTTGCTTTCCAGAGATTGACTGGGGATGGAACCTGAAACTCAGTTATGTGCCTTGACCAATCTGTGCACTGACAACACTCCAACCAACTGAGCACACCAGCCAGCGCTGTGGTCCCTAAGGACAAGGCAAAAGTTCTAATTGGCTAGTTTATCCTAAAATGCAACAATCCACCAAGTTGGAACAGAAACTAAAAGTCAAATCAAATACTTCCTTCCATTTTGAAGCAACAGTTCATGAACATAGAAAATCTATCCATTTTGTAGAATCTGTCAAACTTGCTTATTTGCTATGGTTTCATTTGTATGACTTGTATTCAAGTGTTGCCAAACCAAGACCTTTTATCCTGGAATCATGAATCTAGAGGAAAGCAAGTGCCAGAACATTGTTGACTTCTTAAAAATAGCTTTATAACCAAGGGCTGTGAAGGCACATTCACCAAACACACGCATTTTAAGGGGATAGTAGATAAATTCGTTAATTGCTATTTTGCTATTGGTATATGAGTCCTACACTGAGGCCAACACTGGTAACTGAGGAGAGAGGCAGATATATGGTCAAGTGTGGCCTTAGTCCTTCACAAATTGACACGTATGTAAAATAGCTGAGGCGAGACAGTTAAATGATGAAGCTGTGTCAATATGCTCAGCTAAAGCCCAGATCATTATACACTACTTTTCTTTATAGATCTCAGAGAGAAAGGAAGAGGAAGAGATAGAAACATCAGTGATGAGAGAAAATCATTGATCAGCTACCTCCTGCGCGTCCCACATTGGGGATTGTGCCCATAACTTGGGCATATGTCCTGACCAGGAATCAAACCATGACCTGCTGGCTCACAGGCGGTGCTCAAGCACTGAGCCACGCACTGGGCTATGCAAAACTTTAAAAAGATCTTGAACAACAGAACCGCTTGTGCTATCGATGCATCCTTTGAATGCATGAATTTAAAAATGAGGAATTATAATAACCTGCAAGCATGCTAACACATATACATGTGCATTCATTCCGAGAAATAAACTATAGAAATTAAGATGTTAAGGAACACTGAGATAATTTGTGGTCTTAGTCTCGCATTTACTGCCAAGATGAGCGTTACCTCAGAACGTGAGCAGGAAGGACTGACACAGCTGTGTGAGTTCCTGGCTGATGATGCTGACGGCGGACAGCTCATCTCAGGAGCGGATTCAATCAAGCGTTTCTGTGGGAACACCTGAGGGATTGCTTCTTTCTGGCACCTGAAGTCCTATACCCACCAGCTTTTTAAAACACAGACTGTCTGCTATTGAGTTAGCTCCCCGGCTATCGGCAGGAACCAGCAAGACCACCGAAAGCCACATGTCTCGTGTTTATAACCAGGCGGTGCTTCCAAAATGCTTCCAAAACCCCACTCAGTGCCGCAGAGGACAGAGCCGGCGTGGGGCCAGGAGGAGAGGACGTCAGGATCAAGGGGAGCCTGCCAGTCTGTTCTCTCTGCCAGTCCGCAGACGTTGTCATCGCACCCCATCATTTCCGTTTGTGTGAGGTTCACAGAAGACTGACTCCCGCGAACCTCAGTGATGGAAGATGCCCCTTGGCCTCCCCCTGGGAGAGGCTGTTATTCTAACATTAACTTCAATCTCCCACTGAGGTTATTACTCATATTTCCCTAAGCAAATATGTTTGTTGTTGTTATTCAATACGTACCCCGCACCTCCCAGGTGTCACTGAAAACACATGGATAAGCCGAGCGCTGTCTGCGAGGCGGAGGAATGGATTAATGCCTTCCCTTCCCTTTCCATAGAAGGTGTCCTGTTACAACAGGCAGATGCTGACAGCACCGGGCGCAGTCCTACTGCTCCAAACCCCATCCACTCCAGGCCGCGGTGTGAGGAGCAGCAACAGCCACTGGTGGGAGCACTGCTCCGGGAGGCCTCTCTCTCTGGCTCCCACCCTCAGCTCCCTCCCAAAGGGCCGCAGGGGGGAAGCCTTGCCCACCAGGCCCAGGCGGGAACAACAGGAGATCAGTGTCTGTCCCGCTAACCACAAGCCAACTCACCTTCGCCCAAGTGCCCGGCTGCCTTCCTGCCTGCCAGGGCCCATGGGCTGAGATCCTCCACGGCTGGGGCCTTCTCCCTTCTCCAAACGGCGCAGCATCTGCTAGTGGAGGACGCTGCTCTCTGCGTGGGGAGCCGGGGACTGCAGGCCGAGCTCTGCTCCCCAGTCTGCCAGGCCCATCGGGCAGGCACTGCCTCAGGGACTGAGAGGCTGGGGCAGCGGGGCGGGCCTTGCTGGGCTGCCGCAGCCACACCTGTGCCCCGCCTGGCACGCAGGTGATGGACTGCAGGAGCGCGGAGGGTCCCGCCAGCTGCTTTCCACCGCCCCTCAGAGATGCCCGTGCCCACCGGCGTGGAGGTCTGCAGAGGCCTGAGCTCCTGGGGCAGCAGATGTTCCTATGGTCTCACTGCCCCTCTGAGGGCGTCTCAGGACGGTGCCTGGGGCTCCTCCTCTGAGCCTGGAGATCTTAGGAACCTCAGGGGTCCTGCTCCCCAGTTCCTGCCTCTGTGGCTCCCTCGTCAGCTGAAGCCCCTGACCAAGGAGCCCTCCCATTACATTCCCTGTCACCAGGCTGGCAGCCCACCTTCCCCACCACCTCTGCCTGGTTCGCTGCCCCTGCAGGTTCTCAGGGAGCCCCCGGCCCGCGTGTCCCGGTCCCAGTGAGGGTCTGTCTGGCTGCCTGGGGTCTGTCCCGCCCTGTGCAGATGGCGCACGCCAGGTGGGAGAGCTGAGCATGGCACCCACCATGACTGTCCCCTCAGTCCTTGGCTCCGCCTTCTCCACCTGCTCCACTGGAAACTGAGCTTGGGGGCCTGTGAGCATCATTTGTTGGCATTCCAACCGAGTACCTCACAGGGGCTGTATTTGGAGAGAGGCCGTTAAAGAGCGATCCAGATAAAACCAGTCTCAGGGGCCCTAAGCCAATGTGGCTGGGTCTTTATAGGGAGAAGAGAGACGAGGACACGGAGAATGACCATGTGAGGATGCGGGAGAGGACGGCTGTCCACACGCCACAGAGAGAGGCCTCGGCAGGAGCCCATACCTCCAGCTCGGACGTCAGCCTCCAGGAGGGGAGATAATAAACTGATGCATTTAAACTGCCTCGTCTGCGGGGCTTCCAGTGGGGGCAGAGCCAGTGGCAGGGGCAGCACCCAGCCTTGCTGGCAGGTCAGAGCCTGGCAGGTGACCTTCCCAACAGGCAACAAGTCAGAGCTTCGAGGTCGCTGAAGGGAAAGGGTCTGGGGGGCACAGGCAGACAAACCCACCTCCCACCACATCAGTCAGCTGCCTGCCCTTCCCCAGGCGCCTCCGTCCTGCCCGGGCTCCTAAGTGTGGATGGAGGAACTGGACAAGATGGGAGAAGGGGGCTGAGAGCAAGGTACAGCCCCCCCGGCTCTCCTCACCCTCCTGCCCCTAAAGGCGGGTGGTTTCCCTGGCCATTTAGTTTATTCTCTCACCCCCACCCCCACCCCCACCCCCACCCCCATTGCATCATGGGAAGGCACTAGCACAGCAGCATGGATGACTGCCCCGCTGGTCTGGCATCAGCAGGAAACCCCGCCTTGATAGCGCGTCCCCTTATATCCCGCAGCAAAGGGGCTGCCTCCTGTGTCAGCAAATGTCTTTTAGGGTCCTTGTGACAATGGGCAGTTTGTCTTATGCGCTGACGTTTCTTTCTGTGTGTTGGAACAATCTCAGGTTCTGGTGGGGTCAGAGCGGGTGGGGCCAGGGGTTCACGCCCGCGGGCAGGGGAGACAGGTGTGTCTGTCCTGTCAAAGCCACACATCCCCCCTTTGAGTCACGGTTTTGAATAAGATTGACAGGT